CACCCAGAGGCTGCAGGCAGGAGAGGGTCAGGCAGGGTTCCCCCCTGGTCCCTGCCTTCCCTGCTGCCCGTTTTTGGCACGGTGGCTTTGCGCCATCCCACCAAGGCAGGTCTGAAGGGGTTCCCTGGGGGACACCATCCATGGGACATGTCCCATCCGTGGGACAATGCTCCCCTGGGCCCCCCCGGGGGTGGGCACCCAGCTGGGGGAGGGCAGGACACCCACATCAATCCCCACGTCGTGGGTGCTGGCATCACTCCCACCCCAGGGTGACACCGTGGTGAAATGCCAGTGCCACCCTCCATGTCCCCATCCTGGGAAGCTCCCATCCCACCACGCTCTGCTCACACCTGGAGGGCTGGGGGGCTCCCAGGGAAGGACCAGCTCAATGCCCGGGAGCACAGCACCCATGGGTGCTCACCTGCACCCATGCACTGGGGCGGGTACACAGGCCCAAATGTCCAGGGAGGGCCAAGCAATATCACAAATGCATTTGTTCCACCACAGCCCCCTCCTTGCATCTCTAATTGCGTGGCGTGCCCTTGAATTTGCATAGAAGGCTCAAATATAATTAATTTTTGGCACCTGACAAAGCCCACACGAGGCTAATCCCTTTAGATTTTGCAGCCTTATCTCATTTGAGCGTTTATCTAGTTAAGCTTAATGGGTAAGGGAGAGGAAAAAAAAAAGTCAGCTACGCTATCTGCAGAGCTGCCACTCCCCCTGGGCAGCCCTGGCGTGTCAAGGCTCAGCAGCCAAAAAGCTGCAAAAAAGCAAAATAAGGGCACGGTCCCTCCTAAAACTGCCCAGCCCCAACCCCACCGCAGCCTCTGGGCTTTATATTGAGGCTGAGCGGACTCACAGACACAAATCTTTTGGGTTATGACGGTGCGATGAGGCACCTTGGAGGGGCTCCTGCATCCCTGAGCATCCCTGAGCCCCCCAGGGCTTTCCCCGCCCCCGGCGCAGACTCACGTGTAGAGCGGCTGTAGCTGTAGGTGCGACGTCTTCTGTGGCGCCTGGTAGCCGTAGGAGTCAAACCCACCGATGAAGTCGACTGGGGAGAGGGGGGAGAGCAGCGAGGTGAGCTGGGGAGGGCAGCGGGGCGATTTCCCTGCCTCCCCCTGCCCAGACGGCATGCGTGGGTCACGCAGCATCCCGGGCTGCAGCAGCATCTTGGGGAACTGCAGCGTCCCACGTTGCCACAGCATCCTGGTTTGCAGCAGAATCCCGGAGAAGTGCAGCATCCCGGGTCAGCACAGCAACCCAGGGAAGTGCAGCATCCCGAGTCGCAGCAGCATCCCAGGGAAGTGCAGCATCCCAGTATGCAGTAGCATCCTGCGTCACCACAGCATCCCCGTTGCCACAGCATCCTGGGGACATGCAGCATCCCAGGTCACCACAGCATCCCAGGTCCCAGCAGCATCCCAGGAAAGAGCAGCATCTTGGGAAAAAGCAGCACCCCAGGGAAGTGCAGCATCCTAGCTTGCTGCAACGTTCTGGGATGCCACCGCATCCTGGGTCATCGCAGCATCCCAGGTCGCCACCGCATCCTGGGGAAGTGCAGCATCCCAGGTCACCACAGCATCCCGGATTGCTGCAACATCCCAGGTCGCAGCAGCATCCCAGGGACATGCACCATCCCAGGTCACAGCAGCATCCCAGGGACACGCAGCACCCCGGGTCACAGCAGCAGCCCGGATTGCTGCAACATCCCGGGTCACTGCAGCATCCCAGGAAAGTGCTGGCAAGGAACAGAGGAAAGGAGCTGGACTGACGTGCAGAGATCCCTCAGGCTCTCTTCTCCTCACCACACAGCCCTTGCGCTGCAGGCTGGACAAAGTGGGTAAAATTACCCTCTCATTGTCTCCAGAGTGGGCATTTAAGGAGAATTAGGGGGGAATTACATCTCGTTTAAAGCGTGTCATTTCGGGGAATTGCAGACACCAATATATCAGTTTTCACGGCTGCCATTCCCAGCCGGGTGGTTCATCCAGACCCCACCACCCGCCCGCCGAGCCCCCGGGCGCTTGCCGCAGGGATGGTGGGCAGACCCCAGCCCTTGGCCCTGGCTCCATGCAGTGGGAGCGATGGGTGGCTGGGGGTACCCCAGCTTCTCCCACGATCATCCTACGCACCCCAGACCTGAACCCTCCCACGGACACAGCCGGCGGCTGCTCAGCCAGCCCAGGAACGGGCACCACGCGCAGCCAGGCCGCGGTATCCACGCCGTCACGGGAGCCGTCGCACGACCGTCTCCCCAAAACAAATATATTAATCCCCAAGGAGCCGTGATCCAGGTGGATTCACACACAGGTGTCCAGGAAACAGCAGTGAGCCCGAGGGGGGAGACCAGTTCTCCCAGCATATTTATCTTCTCAACTTAATATTCAGCCAGCTCTCAATTTTAACGCCATCCATCCATTTCCAAATCTAATAAGATATTCCATTAAAAAAGATGCATTTGAATCTTGGGCTCCAGCAGCATTAATATTAAAAGTGTATTGAATGCGGGAGTTTGTTTGAATGCAAACACGCTTCAAAGCCGGCGGCGGTAGATAAACCCTTTTGCCAGCTCCCCCGGTACAGAAACAAGTTATTACCACAGACAGTGTCCAATTTCACACGAAGATTTTCCTTTTCCGCTACACCGGTTCCCGGCAGCGGGGGAAAATCAAGAGGATGCTGAACCCCGGCATCTCCTGGGCTGGGCTGGGCCTGTTTGTAGGTCCACGGCCCCGGCAGGGATGCTGATCCCGACGCTGCGGGGAAGGAGCCCGATGCCGAGCGCATCTGGGTGGCTTTGCGCCGGCGGTTGCGGCACATCCGGGCCTGCGGTCGGCTGCCGGGAGCTGCCAGCTGGTGTGAATTAATTAATGGCAGATGAGCATTTAATGCGGTTGAATGGCTACAGCCTTAACCACCTGGTTAACTGGGGCTGGGGTGTTCGGTGCTTCCGGAGGGGTTTTTGCAGGGATTGTTGTCAGATTGGAAAGCACGATATAGATTGTATAAAAATTAGCCCATAACTTTGCTTAAATTGCTGGTTTTCCCCCTGCTTTGGGGTGAAAAACCTCGAGGCGGGGAGGAGGCCTCTGCCACCCCGCTCTCCATGGGGATGCTGGCCGGAGGGACATAATATTTCCCATTTCATCGTCCCCAAGCCCCAGGCAGCTGTCGAAAGGGCGAGGCAGGGGATGGCTGGCACCGGGAGACGTGAGCAGGGAGGCCGGCTCTCCTCCAGCCCCCACGGGGACGGATCTGCACCAGGAGGAGCAGATCCGTGAATTTATCGGGGCTTGGAGGTGGCTTTTTACAGCAAGGGCGATTCTCCCCACTGCTACGCTGGACCAGGGACCTGGGGGAGATGCTCCATCCCGGAGGAGATGCTCTGTCCTGGAGGAGATGCTCTGTCCCGGAGGAGATGCTCTGAATTTGGGTCAGCGGGGAGCAGTGAGAGCGATGCCGGCCCCAAATCCACCCCTGAGCGGCCGCACATGGGGATGAGCATCCCAACATCAGCGGGAGCTGGACCCAGTGCCGCAATGCTGGCGTGGGGACCGGGGACCAGGGACCACCTCAGCCTCTCCGTGGGCTGCTGCGGGGACGAAGCCCGACGCCGTGTGTTGGATGAAACCGGTCCCGTTCCTGCACCCGAAGGTTGTGAGCACTGCAGTCCCATGGGAGATGTGGCAGCTCAGGGCTCGGTGTCCCCGTCCCCCTCCTCTCCCAACCCTGGCCAGGGTGCAGCACCCTCCCCGAGGCTGGCAGGGGCAACCGCTGGCAGCACGGGGTGGCACATCACACCCCACCACATCTGCCTTGTCAGGGATGGAAAAATGGGGCAAAAAACCCAACTAAAGGGATCCCTTTGCCCACCTGCGACCCAGGCCTTGCTCCCCCATCCCTGGCCGGGAGCTGCTGCCCCGGCAAGGTGCTGGCCGGCGTTAGCCGAGGCCATTTTGCAGCGCTGCGGCTCTCCCCCCTTTGACTGATAGCAAAAGCACTTACAGCTGTCTTCTTCCTCCAGGAACACTTTGCTGACGTAGCAGGCGTAGACGAAGCCAAAGAGCTGCGAAACGAAAGCGGGCAGAGAGAAGTCGGTTTTCGGGGTGACGGGCACCGTGACCGGCAGGGTGTCGGTGGGGGGACGGAGCTGGGTGCTGCAAGGTGGGTGCCTGGGAGCATCCTGGGGGGACCCTGGGCAGTATCAGGGCTGCCGCGGTGCTGGAGCCCATGTTTGGTGGGTCCGGGTGCTGGTTTGGGATGCAGCAAGGCCGGATTGTTTCAGCTGCACTGGGGGAACAAGGGTGGTGGCTCCTGGGGGGACAGGCTGGCACCACGCGGGGATGGCAGTGCAGAGGGTGCTGAGCCCCAAGTAGCTCTGCGTGCCCCTTTGGCGGGTGCGTGGCAGCTGCTCTGGACCCCAGTCCCCTTTAAATCTTTATTTTCTTGCAGCCCTCAAGGCTCTCCAGGAGCTTTCCATCCAGCTATGTCCCCTTCCCACCTCCCCACGGGGTGAGACAGCCACTGGGAAGGGGGGACCCTCCCTTTCCAGCGAGCGCCACATCCCACCGGCTCACACTCTGGCAACGCGTCCAGGTGCGTTACACCACGAGCCCTCCGATCCCCGCAGCATCCAGCCCACAGCCTGCCAGGTTTTGGGGTGAGCAGCACCCCCGGGGTGCTGGCCTGGCCTCCGTCTGCTCCTCTCTTCCCACCCCTGAGCCGATGCCACACTTGATGCTATAAAATGGATGCGCGATGGTGGGACATCTCCAGCTGGACCACGGTGGCTCTGCCCAGCCCGGTCCCTGCCATCGTCCTTCCTCTCTCGCTTCACAATTCGGGATGAGGAGGAAAAGTGCCGGCAGCTGCCCTTACCGCCAGGAATATCTGCGTGGCGCTGCTCACTACCTCGATGTACTGGTAGTCGAGCAGGCAGCCGCTGACGGTGATGACGTGATGATCCTCGGGCGCCAGGTTGGAGTTCATCACCGGCGTCACCAGGCAGCCTGGCCCGTTCTCCATCCACCACGAGCGATGCAGTGAGGTATTGAAGGTCATGATGAAGTCTCGGTCCTGCGGGAGGGGAGCAGAGGAGGAGGCACAGACCGTGGAGCCAAGGCTCTTTGCAGAGAGGCTGGACAGAAAATGGGCTTTTTCAACCCAAGGATGCTCCACAAGACCCAGACCGCGTTAACGCAGTGCGGCCCATGAACCCCCGCATCTCCCGAACTCGCAGCCAGCGTCCCCGGGGTTTGTGGCTTCCTCCCACGCTGGTGTCATGGACCATTTGGTCAAGCGGCACCCAGGTGTGCCATGATGACCAGGTGACGTCACGGATGTCACTGAGCGGTCACCAGCGTGCCGGCTTGGCCTTCAGGCAGGGAAGCAGCCGCATGCGATGCTGCTGGCCGCATCCAGCCATCCAAAAGATGGGACTATGGGATCACCCCATCAGCGTGCTCCAGGGATGCAGAGCAGAGAGGGTTTTGGGGTGCCATCCCCCCATCCCCATGGAGCCTTGTGGGGGCCCTGCTCACCCACGTCCCCTCCTCGTAAGCACAGTACCAGGCTTTGGGGCTCTCCCTGTTTCATCTCCAGCAGCTTTCAGGAGCAAGGCATGGCTGCGGGCTGTCACCGGGGCCAGATAAGACGCAGGGTCAATCCCCCAGCCCCTGCCTGTGCCCTCCCCACAGCAGGCTCGGGCAAGGCTAAGCTCCTGGGCGCGATGCCAGGAGGCACCGTGGCACGGTCGATGCCAATGCTCCTGCCTGTGGATCCGGCAGGGAGACGGGGACTGCGCAGGTTGGGATGCAGCCCCGGCACAGGGCTCCTGCAGGCAGCAGCGGCACGGCTGGGTGGGCACCCACCCCACAGAGGGTCCTCCTGGTACGGCTGGGTGAGCACCCACCCCACGGAGGGTCCTCCTGGCACGGCTGGGTGGGCCCCCCCCCCCCGGAGGGGCCTCTTGGCACCGCCGGGGGGGGCCCCCCCCC